AAAAAACGCTGCAAAAGAGGTCTACCGCAACGTTTAAAAAAACGCTGCAAAAGGGTCTTACCGCAACGTTGAGAAAACGTTGCAAAAGAGTTTTTCGCAACGTTTGTTTTTTGGCCGCTGCAAAAGGTGATTTTTCGCTTAGTGAATTACCATTATAGTTAGTGTGCCAGGGCCATTATCGCCATAATTTGCCTTCAGAGCTATAATATCAAACCACGGAATTTCATTTTTACTCTTGAGACCACCTTTGAGAACTTCCCACACAGGTTTTTGCTTTGAAAAGTAACACTTCACCACCAGACCATTTTGAAAACTTGACACATACTGTCAAAGATATTGTATTAGTAACATACTACATGTGTAACACATCTAAATTTAACTGTTGTGAAAGACTTTACATTTTTGTGAAAGTTCAATTAGTTAGGATTAGTACATGTTTGTGAAAGATATGTTTAAATTATGAATCTTAAGAAATGTGTGCTTGAAAATAGATTTTAACCAATTTATGAGTAATTATAAGCATCGAGAATCATGAACTTAATCAAGTATGGTCAACTCAGTGCATGTACATTTTCCTTGACTACTGGAAACACTAGGTTCTTAGTTAAGGAGTACGATTTTGAGGCGGGAAAAAAAGTTATTGTCGCAACGCTTTTTTTCAATCAAGTTGATTTGTTCCCTAAAATTGATTTGTCACCCCAACTAGTTATTGAAATGCATCCTAGAAATATGATCCTCCGACTATAATATGATGTCAAAAGATGATACCTGCCAACTGCCAATCCTCAATAGTGAAGCCGAAAATTTTGAAGCCTTCAACTTGTCATTTGCACCTGAAGTGGTGGTTCTCTTTGCATCCTTTTGGATTTTCTAGTTACGATTTTTACTAAATTTTATAGTAAGGGAAGCACTATATTCCTCGGAGAGCCTCTTCTCGATCAATTCTAATAATGATTTGAGTCTTGTTCAACTGCAAGCCCAATGGACTAGGCTCAACCAGTAGATTGTACTGTGACGATGGCATTGGAGATTCATCATCCTCGGAGTTCCACTATCACAGCAAAACCAAAAATTTAATACAAGGAAAATATAGTAAACCAAACAGATTTTATAAAAACAAAAATTCAAGCCTGCTAATTCATGGAAACTTTGATCTTCCTGTACAATTGTAGTTAACTGCACGTACTTCTTGTCACTATAGATGCTCTCAACTCAACCGCTAACATGAACCGCACACATTGAAGATGTAACACTTGTGAATTGATAATAAATTAAAGCATACATATGTACGCATACACCTCATCCCCACCGCTTACCTAAAATGCCGAAACTAAAAGTTCATTGGTGATCAACGACCGAAGCACTATATAAGAAAAATTCAAAAAAAATTTCCATATGAATAGAGATCAATGCCAACCAATTCAAGGCAATCTTTGATCATTCTTTATAATTGTCGTTTAATGCACTACTTGTTTCCACGTTACATGCTCTCAACTCAACCGCACAACTTATTTAGCCCCTGTTTGAGTCACATTAAAATTTTCATTTTCATTCTTCTACTCATTTTTAATCACGCAATATTCAATAAAATAATATTTTCTGTCACATCAATAACTTTTACTTCTTTTTCAACCACACATTCTCCATCAATCTACTATTCCAAAATACATTCTTCCAAAATAATGTGGCTCAAACACACCCATCTGGAATTTCTCAAAGTGAACGAAAAATAATTTATAGGGCATTTTAATCATGTTCNCACACATTCTCCATCAATATACTAGTCCAAAATACATTCTTCCAAAATAATGTGGCCAAACACACCCTTAATTCAAGATATACTAAGTGTAACGCTTGTTAAATTTTAAGTATACACCTGTACACATAAACTTCATTCCCACCGCTTATCCAAAAATGTAGAAACAATAAGTTTCCATATTTAAGTCGGTGGTTACTGATAAAATCAATCGTCAGTTATCACCAACGTACTTCTGTCGTCACTTACAAAACTTTTCGTCAGCAATAAACAACTGAAGCACTATCGGTGGTTGCCGAAAATGTCATCAATATACCTCATTCATAACTAACGGAGGATCATTGGTGACGATAATTTAGTCAATTAATTTTTCATTATTAGTTTTCGCATGACTCCCTCAATGATCTTGCCTAAGACTACTCAAGTTGATTAAGCCGCCTCTGATGTGCGGAAGCCATTTTTAAAACAATACTTCTTAGAAGATCTGTTTCTTTTTACTTCTAATTCTATTTATTTCTTTGAAGAACACAAAAAAAAAGCAATCTATCAAATGTAAAGCTGAGTTAGAAGCTAAACAGATATTAACATCAAACTAAACAGCCAAAATCAACAATGAAAAAACAGATTAATAAACTTTTCAAAACCAACAAAATGAGAAAAACCAAACCTGGTTGACAAGAGATGGTGATGGATTTTGTGAAGAGCGAGATAGTTTAATGAGATGCCCATACTCCACTTTTGACGAATTATCCATGTTCATCGCATTTGTATTGCTTCTGCTAAAAGGCATTGTTTCAAATGACTCCATCAGCTGAAAAACCATGCAATTCAACCAACAAAAAAAGAAGTTAATTAAAATTATATATTTTATGGAACTCAAAATTTTTTAGGCACACATTCCATCACCTATTATCAAAAGTTACTAAAAATCTGATTTTTATCTAAACCAAACAAAGGCTAAATGTAATTTGAATAATTTAAGAAGTATAATATTAAAATATGTTTCTCATTAGATGCAATTTTGTAACCAACTCCTTATTTTATTGCAATTTTTAACAATTAAAATTTAATTTTTTGGAACTTATTTTCTAGCATTAACTCTCTAAAACAGAGAACATGTGTTGTGTTTAGAGTGTCTCTTGAAAATGTTCTAATAGAGGTATTACGACAGAAATTATTCTTTTGACTTAATTATCCTTTATGCAGGTAGTATAGAGTTAAAACATGGACTACGTTTTATACACTTATTCGGGGCATAAAATAACGATATTTGATAGTTCTTCTAACAAAATATATCGTAAATTATTTTATGTTATGTTATATACGTAAAACTCAAAAGTTGAATGAGAAATTGAAGGAAAGAAGCAAAAATTGGTGAAAAATGACGAATTCCAAAGTTTGAGGACCAAATTGAAAATACCCAGACCATATTTTGAAGAGAAGACAATTGGATGAAATTAGAAGTAAAAAAGGAATGTAATATGATCAAAATATTATTAAAATCAATTTTCAATCGCACAAATTATATTCTAGATTTTTAGCCAAAATTTCAAACCCATTTTTGGCATAGTAAACGTTTGAATTAGAAAAATTACATTTTCTAGGAAAGTTGTAGCCCTTCTAGTTAGCTATTGAATGTACTTTGAATTGCTTCAATTGGATATTTGAAGAGAAAGTTATGACAAAAATACTGAGTACTATGCAAAGCAAAAACATGCGATTTTCAACCAATTTTCCTTAGTCGATTTGAGCTCTTTTGGAAACCAATTTCAACGTGATTTTCAACCAATTTTTGACTCCTACAATTATCTAACAGCAGAATATATATTTGAGACCTCTGATAGACGTAGTATACTCCAATATTCATCAACTATTTTCATCAAAGTAGGAAAATTCGTCGTTTTTGTGAGAGAATGAAGATTTAAACTTAATTTTTGCTCAAATAAAAGAAGTGTAAGTGGAGATTTATCAAAAAATCAGTGAAGAGATTCAAGATTTCAAAAGTCATCTTCATCTTCTCAATTTATAAAAAATTCGGGTTTTGTCTTTTCACCCAAAGATGATTTCTTGCAATTTCGATATATTAGGCTAGTTTTATACACTGTTGGGATGAGATGAAGTCTTGTTATGATATTTTTAGTTTTAATTAATTATTTTGACTTTAGTTTGGTTTGATTTATGGATGTTTATTATCGTTTTTATTGTTCTTTTTAATTGTTTGATTACTAATTGAATTGTTAGTATTTTATTGTTATCGAGCGAGACAATAAGGTTTAAGCACAATATAATAAAAATTGTAAGGTTCAATAAAGGATAAAAATATACATTTATGCTCTATATGGCTTCAATAGATGTTCTAACACTTGTTAATACATTTATTATGTTTACATCTTTCATCAAGAGATAGAAGAGTCATATGAGGGGAATATATTTAATCGCTATCGAGAGAGACTTTCAATTAAATTAGGAACATTGACCAATATGAATGATTTCAAATTGTTTCTTTAAATGTAACACTAAAAGTGAAATAACAAGAGGGATTTGATATCTTAGCAATGCATCGATCTCACATATGTGAAAATCATAATTACTTGTTTTCACTAGTTTAATTGATAATTTAAGAATTAGTAGAGAAAAATCAAAGCAACTTGTTTTCTATTTGATTAAAATTGCAATTAATCTTAACTCGGTCAAACAAATTGTCCTCATGAGTTCGACACTCTACTCATTATTATATTACTTAACCACGATTCCGTGAACTTGCGAATTTTCAAAGGAGCGTTAATAATGAATTAATGGAGCATGTTAAATTCAAGGTATAGCCATTTATAAACAGAGAGAAAAAGTTTGAAAAAATTATTGCATGTATCTATTTAGTTTTGAGAATATGCGGTCATCGTAAAAGTTTAAACCTTTAACATATCACAGCATATATTTTTGGCAATACACATAATTATCATTCAAATTCTTTAAGAAGAGACTGAGAAAAATTATAAATTATTTAATATGAAATTTATTCTTTTTCATAACTATTCAAGTGAGGACCATAATTTTTTATGACTATATTGAGATTATCTGTATATAGATTATCACTGTAGAGAACTAGAAGTGTTAGTATAATAAAATTTTAAAATTTTTTAAAAATATTTACATATTTTATGAATTTTAATCTAAAATTATTAATTGTAAGATAGGGTTAGTTTCATAATTTGATGTGAGGTATGAAACAAAGTGTGCAACAAATTTGGAAATTGTTAATTAAAAATTTGGACCTAACAATACATTTTAAAAATAGAGAGCCTCTTGAAAATGTTCTTAAAATGATAATGTTTTACTTGTACTTCTATGTCATGATATGACAAAAATAAATAATATAAATACACATTGAATTGTTACATTTTGTATGAAATACTTTTGTAAGTATTAAATAGAGTTCTATTAAATAATTATCTTTATGTTTCTTGTTTAATTAAAAGATGGGTAATATGTCAAATTGCACACAAGATGCTTAAAATTTCAAGATAGGCATGCATCACTATAATGGGAACTTTTGAAGTGTGAGTTAAGTTTAACATGATATTAAATTACGTAGAAATACTTTAAAAAAAATATATTGTGGGATAAAATAAAGGTGAATCAAAGTAGATAATCAAAACGAAGGTCCGTGATCACACGGATTCCTTAAATCGAATTCGCCGCCTCAACGG